CACATTAGTGGTAGTAACTTCATTAATGGCTTCACTGTTTTCCCTCTCAAAACCGGGTAGAATTTCTTCTTCAACAGTGGCTTTTTCAGGTGACATGTCTTCAGCATCATCATCTGTTCTGTTGTTCATTTCGTTCCAACTGAAATGTTCTGGACCATGATAATGCCAAAGCCTATTGGCATGCACTATCTTTGGCTTACCTCGCCAACCACATTTTATTCGGAAAATCACGTTTGAGGGACGATCCACTATATTATATGGGCCTTCCCATGGAGAAGACAAATTAGGAGACTTCCCTTTGGTTTTCCTGGTACAAATCTGGCTTCAGTAGATTTCTTACCATAATATAGCTTCATGGAATCAGCAAACGTTTTTAAGTTTGAACACACTTGATGATGAATATCATCCATCCTTTCAGATAACACTTTCACGAACTCTAGCACATTTTCAGGCAACTCTTCGTAAGGTGGGTGTTCGTAAGGTCCACTGGCAACCAAAGTTCCCGACCAAACATCAGCTTTGCTGGAATGTATCCAGTGGTTTCATGCTCTGCTGTCCTATAGGCCATCAACAGTGGAGGGAATAAGACATCCCAGTCATCTTAGCGACTATTACAAAACTTTGCCAATTCCTGTCCCAGAGTCCAATTGAACTTTTCTACCATTCCATCAGATTGTGGGTGAAGTGGCATTGTCTTGGTCTTTCGTATGCCAAACAACTTGCAGCATTTATGTAATACAGCTGATTCAAAGTTACGGACATGATCCGAATACAGTTCGTTTGACATATCAAACCTGAAGAAGAAATCACTAATAACCGAAGCTACAGTTGTAGCTTCCTGATTTGGTATTGCATATGCCGCAAGCCACTTGGTGAAACGATCCATCACCACACAAATGTACTTGTTTCCAGCACGAGTTTGGGGCAAAGGACCAGCATTGTCAATAGCTACTCTTTCCATTGGCGCACCAACTTGATATAACTTCATTGGAGCACGTCCCTTATGCTTGGGTCCCTCTTTTAGCACAACATGTACTGCATGTCCTGTACCATTCTTCCACATTTTGCCTCATACATATCCATTAAAATATCTGCCGTAGGTGACTCAATGTCTTCTAAACTTCAACATGTCCTCCTGTTAAACTATCATGGGATTGACGTAGCACAACTTCTCGTAACTTTCTCGGTATAACTGTTTGTCAGGTCGTCACTTTCCCATCTGCAGTTTCCCATCTCCGGACAAGAATACCATCTTCAAGCTTCAACTGGTCCCATTGTGTCCAATAATTCTTTGTCACAGGGCTTAAGCTAGACACCTACTCCCAAGCAGAGCACAAAACACTTGCTTGTAGAAAATCAAATATTTGCTTCAAATCTTGGTCTTTCTCCTGTTCTGTTTTGATATCTATACTTGGTTCCACTTCACCATCATCAACACCTTCAGTCACTTTGACTTCAGCTTGATGGCACCTGGTTATTTCAACCTCTCTTCTGCAACAATGTCTGCATTCATTTTTGCAGGATCTTTGGCTCAGTCCATCGGCATTTTCATGAGATTTAACAGATACAGCAACACTTACCGGAAGTTGGCCTCTTTTGTTCCCAAACGTCATTTTATCAAAGTTAACTACACACTTCCTCGGTAGTAAGTAGTCCTAATATGCATGGGTCTTCAATGTCAGCCAGGAATACTTTGTGTCTGTCCTTTATTCCCATGAGTTCAATAGTTACCCACACTGTTCCCCACAACCTTGCATAATGTCTTGTCACACCACAGAGTTTCCATATGGCTTCTGGTACTCCTTTGTGATCTAGCACCTCGATACTCACAAGGGTTTGCTGAGATGCAGAATCTATGACAAAGTTGCCATCCAGCTTTCATGTCACATAGACACTATGTGTGCTTGCCATTTTACACCTAGCTGTTGGGACTTTCACGAAGGGGTTGATGGGTGTACCTCAACACCAACCACTACTGGTTCTCCGAGGCTGTCTTATTGGTAGTATTCTTCTTACACTGGCTCTTCATATGTCCTTGCTCTCCACAGTTCCAACAACCTTTCTGGGTAGCAGCCCTTCTTGCCATGTCATCTTTCCTGTGTTGAAGTTGCAGCCATTTAGCTCTCTTGTGCTCAGATTTGTTACAGTGCCAGTAAAGTCCCCCAAACTTCTCTGAAGCTGCCCTATTCTGGCCTTGAATCCTGATGACTATACCAACCTTGGTACCTCTGCACTGGACTAAATGTAGGATTCGAATTCATTGCAACCTGCATAGTAGAGGGGTGTGCTTGCTTTACTTGTATCTTCAGATGTGGACTGTCCAAGGCATCTACAGACTGATCCCTCAGAAACAGCTTGAGGACATTGGGTGGCGCAGTTGGGTAGACCTTGTGTACCATACTTTCCAAATCCTGTGCCAGCTCTTGCAGGCTCTCGCCTTTAGCACGGACTCTCGTCCTAAACCTGGCCCTGTAGACTTCAGACTGATTTTGAGTTCCATACTTGAATTCTAGAGCAGCTACCAGTGCTCTATAGTTTTGCCTGTCATCTGCTGACAACTGTCCAAATGTTTCCAGTGGTTGTCCCTTCAGGCTCGTTTCCAGGTACACTGCTTTCTGCTCCTCTGTCCATCCATTCATTTCTGCCAGTAGCTCAAACTGTGCTCTATATACTTCCTATGGTGCCTTCCCATCGAATTCTTGTGGCTTCCTTTGTCGTAGATCACCCCTATTGCTAACACTTATGTCTGGAATGTGACTTCTGACAGGACTGAAGATGTCTGCATTGGGGCTTAGCTGCGGGGTCTGAAAGGGGCTTCCTGTCTGAGGATGATTAGGTCCTTGTCTAATATATCCTCTCTGTGTAAAAGAAAGTAAATCGCCCTTTAATGTATTTAATTTACTTTCAAATTTACTAATCTTTTTCATTTTTACTTCATGCTGATGTTGTACTCTCTCTCCTTGTTCTTCTTGCCATTGTTGCTGACTTTGCTGTAGTTGTTGGAGACTTTCTTCCTGTTTCCTTTCCTGTTCCAGTTGTCACTGGTGCTGGTTTTCTTGCTACTGCTGTAGTCTCTCTTCTTCTTTATTTTATTTCTGCTCCAACCACTACAGTAGTCTCTCTTGTTGTTTATTTTCTCGTTCTTTTTGTTTCTTTTCTTTTTCCTTCAACAACTACTGTAATCTCTCTTCTTGTTACTTTTC